ATGGGATTATCGACAATCCGAATGGCCCTCTTTTGTATGGAGTCAAATGGAAGAAGCTGGTATTTGGGAGCCCCGGCCCAGAGATGGGAGCAGTACTCCATGCGAGGCCGGACTTGTGTTTTATAAAGCAAAAGCCTTTGTCCAGGCGTGAAGTACCGCTTCGCTCTGTTGAGGACTCCCAGCATTTTGGACGTCAACTTGGCTTTGCCTTCCAGATGACTCCGAAACTGGACATCGCTCGAAATGTCGACCCCAAGTATCCCAATACTCTCGGAAGGTTGTAAGGATACTCCTTGGAATTGCGGCGCCATGACAAAAGGGTCCTTCTTCGCAGTGAACGCGCAAACTTATGTCTTTAACGGGTTGAATTGAACCAAGTTCAATTCACTCCATTTGGAGACTCGCCCCAGAGAGTTCTCCACTTCAGACACAAGTTTTGATCGTCTCTCTTGCACCACGCTCCGAGAGAGACTCTGATGGCCAATATATCGCGCATCCCCCGTGCTGTCATCCGCATAGCAATGCATGCCATCAATAGACAGCATGTCATTGATATACAGGATGAAAAGCGTGGGGGAGAGCACCGAACCATGTGGAACGCCAGCGTTAATGGTCATGGTATCAGAACAGTCACCGTCTACAACGACCGTGATGCTCCGCCCATCCAAAAAGCTAGCGATCCACTTGCAGAGACCCTCGGGGATTCCGTAAGATGGTAGCTTCGACAGAAGTGCCCTATGCCAGACCCTGTCGAAGGCCTTCGCGATATCAAGGCTCACAGCAAGAGCCTCGCCTTTGCTCTCCAAGGCTTCAGCCCACTTGTGTGTAAGGTATACAAGAAGATCGCCAGCTGAGCGACCGTGACGGAAACCGTACTGTCGGTCACTGATCAGCTGGCAATCTTCAAGATACTTCAGGAGTTGTATATTTATTATCCGCTCCATCACCTTGGAAAGCAAGGAAGTTATCGCGATAGGCCTATAGCTCGATGGGTCCGACCGGTCACCCTTCTTGAGGATAGGGTGGACGTGGGCAGTCTTCCATGAAGACGGAACCCTGTTAGCGCAATAGGAGAGGCGATACAAACGCGTTAGCGCAGGCGTCAGCTCAGGGGCACACGTTTTCAGTACCACTGCAGGGATGCCGTCTGGCCCACTCGACTTATGGACGTCCAGGATTCGGAGCTCCCGCCTGACTGCACACTGTGTGAAGCAGATATCCGGCAGGGAGCTATCACACCGGGGGATGTTCGGTGGTGTGGCACCCCCGTCGTCCACAGTCGAGTTCGAGGCGAAGACTTTGACCAGAAGGTCAGCCTTCTCTTTCGCACTATGGGCCAGACTGTCATCGGACTTGCGTAGTGGTGGGAGACTAGACCTGCTAAAGTTTCCTTCTGCAGCTTTGGCGAGCGACCAAAAAGCACGGCTCCCAGAGGGATAGCTCTTCAGTCGCTCGCCAATTCTAGCAACGTGCTCCGACCTCGCCCTGGCAATAACCTTCTTGTAGGACTTGGAAGCGGCGTTATATTTCCGCCTTTCCTCTGAGATGTTAGGATCCCGACGTCTCCTGGCATCATCCCATGCAACGTATGCGGACGCCTTTCCTCTGAGATGTTAGGATCCCGACGTCTCCTGGCATCATCCCATGCAACGTATGCGGACCGCTTGAGGTGTGCAGCATCCCTGCTGGCATTGTTATACCAGGGTCTGCTGCGACCCCCAACGGGCACTTCAGAAGAGGGGATAAACAATTCCATCCCCTGGAGCACCACGTCTTTAAGACGGTCCGCACAGACGTCAGGATCAACAGAGGAAAAAGTATTTGAAAGCACTAAAATCTAATAAAGGTCTGGGTTCGATCTGATGATGGAGCCAATAAACTGTCGAGGGCGCTCCCCAAAGTTTTAGATTAGGGTAATCTTCAAAACGGTTCAATAGATTTTCAGAATATTTTACTACTAGGTAGATATAAGGAGTTAGGTAGATTTCATCTCGTAAAAAACTCAATTTTGGGCGGTCCGGGAATCGTCCGGAAATCCGCGCGAACGACATCATGGGTCTTGTATTTAATATAAATAAATAAATCTTCCACTAGTTAATAATAAATATAGATAAGATGAAATCGTCTTTGTAGTAGTGGGTGAGAACACAATGTTGTAATAAAACTAACAAGGTCAATCAATGTTGTAATAAAAGTAGGTAATAAGAAAAATAAGCTGTTGACCGTCTCGCACAGCCCCGCGCTGCCCACCCCTATCGCGGATCAGAAGTTAACCGTTTCGTCCTAATATATATATTATATTGGATCAACTTCAGTGTTGTAATTATGGCATATATCGGATCCAAATTTTACGAGTGAGTACAATAAAAATAGCCGTTACGGATTCACATTTGTCTAAACTTTCGACGAAGTGAAAACTGGAGTAGATACTTTTTTTATCCACAGATTCGGTAGAATCTGGCGCCAAGTTCCGTTCAAAAATCCCGTTGTAAACGGAGCGTCAGACTACCGACTGTGTTTACTGTGAGCAGAACAGTTTTTTGAAGTTGCGAAATTTTATTTAATTCTACGGTACTTCTGGTTCCTAAATTGTATATTATATCAATCACTCACAACTTTATTTTACTGATATTAACTAGTTATNCCATAGGTATATAGTGAGAGCTGTTGAAAATTACCGTAGTTCTGTCTCAATTTCTCATAAAACGCTAACAAGAGCGAAAAAGACAACCTGGGTAACTTTTTCAGCTTTCACTGTATATTAAAGCAAAATGGTTTTTTTCTCGGGTTGAAATTCTTCCGAAAAATTTTGGGGTACTCAATGACGCGCGCCAAGTACGATAAATAATTTATTTTTTTATTTTTAAATTTTCAACAATTTTTTTTTAATTTTTTCATCTTTATCACGGTTTCTTGGTATTTTTTTGTATTTCACATATTTTTGTAGAGAATGAAAGCTATTGAAGTCTTCTTTTTTTTGTAAAGTGCAAATGTTATTGAGATGAGTTTTATAAACGTGGACTTGGCGCAATTTTTTACAGTGAAACTGTTTTTGTTCGGATGGAATATATCTGGCAACATCGCAAAACAAAATGCAACGTTGCCACTCTGGGCAAAATATGTCGAAACGGAACAACGTTATTCGCGTGCAAAGGTGGATCAAATAGTGAATAGGGATCGGGCTGGATCAACTATGTGTGCAAAGACGCCAATATATATATATATACCTGTAGATACATCGCAAATTAACAAAAGCGTGCTACAATAATTAATACTTAAAAATTCATATTTAATCTGTTATTATTGCTTCATTTTTGCCTTGTGCTGTCTTGAAATAGCATTCAGTATAAAACAACACGTTTTTTTACGAATTATCTTTGATTTTCATTAACCTTTGCTTTTTCAATATCTATGTACCGAGATAACGGTATGATACTGCGAATTTAAATATGTGTATATCTTTACCTATATGTTTTATACAGTATTTTGTTAGTGCGCTACTGCACTTTACTTCATACTATTCAGATTCTGGTTCAATAGATTTACATTGTCAGATATTTAGCTATTAAAGCTTGCTTTTACTTTGCAAAGCAAGCGTCGCGTCGCTTCGCCTCTGTATCGGGCGATCTCAATTTAAGCCTCAAGTGGTTTTCGCTACTCGCCGAGGTTCGTAACGCGCACAAAGGAAGTTAATGACGCCGGCGCACATTGAATACGCGATGGGCTCATTGAATCGCTTTATTGGAAAATACTCTTGTCACTCAGACAGAAATAAGGGCACTGCGATTGTTGTTACGATAACGATAGCGCTCTGTTACCGAAGTCTAGTCAACGTTGTACGAAATACGAACAATAATACGAGTACTATGACAATGGGATATTAAATGGTTTACAGGAGAATGTATTAAACGTTAACGGGAATCTGTAGGCATCACAACATGAATCTCATCTCCCACATGGTAGGAAAATATATATTTATTCGTTCATCTTATATCTAAAGTTATTGGAACTGACAAATGTGGTGGTGGTAGGACCTCTTGTGAGTCCGGACGGGTAGATACCACCGCCTTGCCTATATCTGTCGTGAAGCAGTAATGCGTTTCGGTCCGAAGTGTGGGGCAGCCTTCGTAACTATACTGAGACCTTAGAACTTATATTGCAAGGTGGGTGGCGTATTTACGTTGTAGATGTCTATGAGCTCCAGTAACCACTTAACATCAGGTGGGCTGTGTGCTCATCCACCCATCTAAACCATAAAAAAAAATGTAATGCAAAAAAATTAAAGTCAACCAGACTTAGAATCAATAGTTAGCAATAAAAAATAAAAAAAGCAAGTTCTATTTTTAAATAATAATGCGAACACAAAATTACATTTAGGTATCTTTTAGTAGGATTTGTTATAACTTTATAGGCCAAAAATTTATATTTATTTAATATTTATTAGCTTGTTGATTTTTCACGAAGAATTTTCCGAGTATTTGTCGAACGTACGTACATACGAATTGATGTGAATAATAATATTATGTTTTTCTAATTATTTGATATTCTCGTCAACCTAAGCCTTTAGTGAGATTTCAACACATGAGGTGTCATTAATTACCCTCAACTGTGGGAGTGACATAGAAAGAATTATTTTGGTATTCATGAAAATTAAGAATATAATATAATATAAATGAAGAATATTAATTGATTTTAATCTATAAATATAACTTGCAAAAATATGATTTAGTTGAATCTGCATCCGTCTGCCAAATGAACATAGCTTTAATTTTAGAAAAGCTCCTACTTGTGTGTAATTTAAACGTCCCATCTCTAATCTAACTTTACTATTATTCAAGTTTTTTTCTATTGATATTTCAATGCGATTTTTGGAGCAGTCAGGGCTACTTTCTGGTATAATTGTTTCAGTTATTTTTTGTGTATTTGTCTCTACTATTAATATATGCAACAAAGGGAACACGCTTGTGACATATAAGTGAAATATAAGGAGTTGTCCACAGGTGCTCAGTGACGGCCGGACAGCGGCGCCTTTGATCAGGCTCGGATATCTCCACGCGTTACGCGGTGGTGTCACTTACTTCACGCATTTTCACCATCTCTCTCAAGACAAGGATTATCCACAAGTAAGAATTTAAAATAACACAACTCTACCAAAATTTTTTCGTTGTTTGTCCTAACGTTTATACTAGGTTTTTTCGATTAATTATTCACAAAAACGAAAATAAAATACCTTTTTTTTTGTATAAAGTTTGCTTTTGTGATAGTTATAGTAATAATACTCATTTTTCAATTTTTTTATAAATCTTAATTAATTTTAATACTTTAAAAAAAATCGCGCTATGAGTGTGGGGTGTTTACGTTTACACAGTGCCACTAGATGACACTCGAGTCATAAACAACGATCAGGTGTTTTGTACAAGCCCAGAAAAACTTAAAATGTCACGAAAGTGTAAATACGATGCTGATGCATTTTGTTTCATATGTGGTCAATTTATTAAAGTTCAAAAGCAAACTGTTTAATGCCATGTATTTTTTTTTTCGTCTAATTACGATCTAAAATATCAAAATTTTATGCTTTGCAATCAAAGTCAAATTTGGGGTTGACCCGTGTAATGTATTCGAAAAATACGTAATTTAAAAATTCGAAACAGTTCAGAACTGTATTTCTGGTGAAGGCTCCTTTTTTTTATTGTATGTATGTACATGTTTAACGATAAGACCCTCACGTATCAGTGCATGAGTGACTCAAATAGTTCCTCAAGATACCAGCGAATAGGATGGCAAATAATAAATATGTTAGCTAAAAATAAAAAAAATCTCAAAATTATTTTACAAATCTAAGTTCTAATATAAATGTTTCTGGAACTACAGAGACCAGGTTCAGTTCACGGGGAAGAGTTACCTTACTATCTTGGAGTACCGCTATCACAAATGCATAACCAGCGGAACTATACGCAACAGGAGCAAAAAGTATCCAAACTTTGTTTGCACTACATCGCGAACTTCGTCAAATATGGGTAAGTTGATTTCGGACCGTCACTTTTTTAACACGGTTTTATTAACTTGACCTGTGTCCATTTATGTAATGGACACCTTCGGAACCCTTTTTAAGGACTTCTCGATGTCCGATTTACTTAATAGTTTGCACACATTTTAAGTATTATTTTTTAATTATCCTTATAGGCAGACGAGGATACGGCCCACCTGTTGGTAAGTGGTCCCCGTCGCCCATGGACTTCAGCCATGCCAAGGGCAGAGCCAAACCGCTGCCTACCGTTAAAAGTTAAATTCATTTTTATTTTGGTCCAATATCCTGAAAGAGCTCAAGTTTCAAAATGGGTGAGGGCATTCATGTTGCAAAACATGCAACTATAGGCATAGGCTCTCAGTAGCAGGTAGCCCGTGAACTCGTTCACCCGTTTGATCAAGAAAACAATAATAATAATAATAATTTTAACGCAACATAGATTATTGTAAGTAAGCTATTATAATTTATGATTTTGCAATGTTTGTCATCTATACTTAATATATAAATCTACAGTGGTTTTTACGGATGTTCCGTTATAACTACTAAACCATGCATCCGATTGACTTGAAACTTGATATCCATGTAGAAAATACGTGTACTTAATGGATAGGCTAATATTTATATGAGTGTTGGACTCCCTACACCATTTGCGGAGCCGCTAATGATGAGAATCTTTGTGGGGGTGAGAAATAATAATGTTAATTTTAAATGCCCAGCGAAGCGGACGGGTTCAGCTAGTCGTTATTAAAATTTTGCAAACCTTAAATATAATAATAATAAAGAAATTTTATTCTCGTTTTTTTTTTCTAAATTATGTAGTATTTATGCGATTTCAATCATTAATCCTAACACTTATTTAAATCTGATTTCAAATGTCGGTGTTGTATTCTAAAGTTGTCAGTAGTCTATTTGCATATGTTAAGTAAAGTACATTGAAGTAGATATTTGCGGTCGTGCCCGGGAATTCCGAGTCGAATTCACTAATCGAACAAGCTCACTCAAACGTAATGTTCTATTAATGTGATTTGTCTTTCTTGTTACTACGGTAGGCAGTTGTTGAACATAGCATATTGCTTGGGTGCTTTGGTTGTATATTAGTTTGGTCTATTACCAATGGAATTCGAATCAAGAATAAAGGGATTCTCAGGAGAAATATAATAACCGACTGTTTTGCGTAGCTCTCTGCCAGTAGCCTCGAGGGGATATACCATCATGACTGGCAGGCGAGCTCATGGGGCTCAGTATGAAATAATTGGCTAACATTTGCCCTAGCAAGAGCAGTGCTTTGATAAATTGACCGATATAGCGCGAAGGATTGCGAGGTTGAAATGACAGCTGGGATATTACTCGTAGGTGGCTACTTGGGCCATAAAACCCTTGAATGGCGACGGAAAGACGTAGGGGTGTAAACTTTCCATAAGGTGACTCGAAGATCTGTTGAAGGTCATGAGAATAGAACTGGTCAACGTACGCCTCCTTAGAGGAAGGCCTTTGTCCAGCAGTTAACGTCGGTGGGTAGTAAGTCTGCAGTAATATCAGCGGTAGTGGGTAGGCGATTCAACTGGTATTCAGAGAATAGGATATCGTGTCACTGCCATTGTCTCAAGATTTCAGAAATGAGGTCGAATTCGCAATCGTTAAAAACAAGGATGAGCAACACCCGACCCGAGGGCCGCTTACGGCCCGCCAAGTATTTCTGAAATTTAATTTATTTTATCGACTTTCTCCCATCATTTCGTTTTTCTGTTCTTTTCTTGTTTGTTTTTAATAAAGAAATAAAGTTTCGTAAATTATTATTAAGAGCTAATCTATGTGCGGCCCGTCAAAAAAAAACATTTCAATTGGCCCATTGATTAAAAAGGTTGCTCACCCCTGGCCTAAAATGTTATTTAACCAATTCAAGAGTAAGTTTGAAATTGGTTTGAAGTGTGACTGTAAAGTGCTAAAGACCTTCTCTGGAACGTTTTTATTTTGGATCACTATTATATTTCAGACTAGCTGACCCGGCAAACTTCGTAGTGCCTCAATCGATAAATAAAAGACCAAAGCTTTTGTATAAAATAAACTTAAAACAAACAAGGAATCCGTCCAATGGGGAAAAACAAAATTGTAATTTTTATTTAATTCCGAGCTTTTTCATATTTATCTACCTTTTAAACCTTCTCTGGACTTCCACAAATAATTCAAGATAAAAATTAGCCAAATCGATCCAGCCGTTCTCGAGTTTTAGCGAGACTAACGAACAGCAATTCATTTTTATATATATAGATTTACATTGCTTTTAATAATTGGATAAATCATGGCATGTTTCGTTCTACCTGTTGCTAGATGTATGTAATACGTCCATTTATTTAAATGACGGTCCTAACTTTAGCCGCCTATTGCCTAATGTTCGACAAAAGTTCGCCATTATATACATTAGGGTATAATTCTTGACGTATTCAAATCGAGTCCGACTATGCCGCAGTTTAAATCGTACAGCAGGTAGCAAATTTTTTGATAGTAATCAGATGCGTATTAGGCACAGTGGTTTGTGATGTGTTTGGATCACACTAACCTCATATATTCATGTAAGCTATGATCTACTCAGCCCAGCTCCGTTAGTAAAAACAAGCATTTTGTGGTCAGTAATCCGAACGATCCATCAGCAACTCCTCCTCCCAGTCCGATGCTCGGTGACGCCCCGCGGCTCGGCCCAGACCAGACCCCGTATTGGGATACCTACGACACTATCAATCAACTTTACATGGAAATCAGTAAGTTTACACTTCATTTGTTGCTTACGATATAACAGTTGCTTTAATTTTTTAAAAATATTTTACTAATAGTATGGTAAAATACTAATAGTATGGTAATATAGTTAATTGCTTAATGTATTTAGTTATTTGACTCGCATATCCTTACTAATAATCATAGTACAGAAAACTATTCGTTTATATGATTTATTCCATCTTAAAAAAATCAATTCGATTCATTCATCGTTTGAATATTTAAAAGAGCTACAAAAAGTCAGAAACATATCAATTTTATTAACAACAAAAACAAAAGCAGTAGAAAATTGGTTTTCCATTTTTAATTTCGAATCCCGCATGAAATACTATAATTACGATTTAAAATTACTTTTAAGAATAAAAAGCGCTTCAGGCTATTTCACAAAGTAAAAAATGAATTATTTTGATTTCAATTAATTTTTGAAACGAGTTTTAATTACTGACAAAATTGCCTCTCACGAGCAATAATTCAATAACCAGTACGATTCCCATTATAAATTAATCTCATTCATGTACGGGAGTATTTCGTAAACGTAAACTTCTTGAATGTACTCAATATATTTGTTTACTAATTTCATGAAACATTCCCGAAATTCAGGTTCATTTAAACTTTTGGGTCGCTAACTTTCTTGTGTACCGTGTGATGCGGATACGTCTACCTCGCTTCGCCTTTATTCCGCTTGTATTGTAGTGACGGTTAATGATACAATTCAAATGATTATTGTACAAATTAATCACGACTACTACTCAGAGGTCCCGCAGTAGCCGAAATTCGACTATAATTAATTGCAATTGTAAGTTTGTACACTATTATGATTGTATTTTATACTTCTATAATCACAAATTTCGCCAAGACTACACTATAAAAAATATTAACAAAGACAAACAATATTTAATCTATTCTCAATTTGACAACAGACGCCAAGAACAAAACTTTGACAATAAATAGTATGCATGCCTGTGTGCGTCAAATACATGGTATGTAGTGTGTGTAATGTGTTTTTTTTTTTTATTAAAAAAAATATTAGCATTGTGCACTTCTTCTCTATATTCTCTATAAGTGTGGAAAATTTCATACTCCTCCGTCCGCGCAATTTTCGTAAAAAGGGATACCAAGGTTTTGCTTCACGTATTAATATATAGATTATTGTACAAATTAATCACGACTATTACTCATAGTATCATCAGTCCCGGCTGATTTATAAAACAGTTGTTAAGGCCAATCGCAAGTAACATAGATAGAGAGAAAGATTAGAGCATATGGTAGGCAGCGGCTTGGCTCTGCCCCTGGCATTGCTGACGTCCATGAGCGACGGTGACCACTTACCATTAGGTGGGCCGTATGCTCGTCTGCCTACAAAAGCAATAAAAAAAAAGTCTGAAAGGAAGTCTTACTGGTGGTAGAACCTCTTGTGAGTCCGTGCGGGTAGGTACCACCACCCTGCCTATTTTGGCCGTGAAGCAGTAATGCGTTTCGGTTTGAAGGGTGGGGCAGCCGTTATAACTATACTTGAGACCTTAGAACTTATATCTCAAGGTGGGTGGCGCATTTACGTCGTAGATGTCTATGGGCTCCAGTAACCACTTAACACCAGGTGGGCTGTGAGCTCGTCCACCCATTTAAGCAATAAAAAAAAGGAAAGGTTGATTTAATTTTTATAATGTCTGGCAGTTCTACTTATTAAATTAAATTAAATGTGTTATTGAGAGACCCGATTCGACTAATTTCAAAAGAATAAATAGAAGACTAGGCAATCAAGGATTGATTAAGAAGCGTACTAAAAGCATATTCTGTGAAACATTATTTGAGGCTACTTAAATATTCATTAACATTAGGAAGCGGCGTATATTTCCATCGGTTCTTACTTTCAAATGCTGTATGTAATATATGTAAATCCTCAAACATTCCAGGATTCGAGTATTTTATTTTGAAGCCATAATACATATGTATGTAACCTTTAGCAGGGCCTCAATCATAGTTCGATCAAGCTGATTTCTTGCACAAAAAAATGTATTATTAGTGCAATACTCCTACTACGGTAGAGCTATGGGAATGGATCTCTTTTTGTCATTGTAGGATGTTCTGCCTTTAAAACTGTAGTATTCTAAATATTTCTAAGTCGAAACAGGGATAAAGAGTAGTTGTACTAGCATAATGATAGATTGATGTATCAAATGGGAACCCGCCTGCAGGTAGCAAGGCGGAGATGAGGAGCCACTATCGCGGGCACAAGATGTCCCTGTGGTTGTCTTTAATACCGCAGCTACACCGCCCTGGGCCTGATCTACCCGACGCCACTATGCGACACCACCATTTTCAAGAAGACAACGCTAACTATTATGAAGGTAATTAGCTTCTATTTTGGATTCATGCCATGAAATGATACCGCATTTAAATTGTACGATGTTAAATGTGTGTGTTAAATTGACGATTTTTGATTATTTAAGTTGTATTTGTTGAAAAATTAATTATAAGATTTTTGGGTTTATCGCACCTATTTCTGTTACGAAGCAGTCATGCGTTTCTTTTAAAAGGTAGACAGCTTACATTGGAATTAAAGCTTTGATCTCATATCTCATGGTTGGTGGATAGCCACTTAATACCGGCTAGCCGGAAACTCCTTCTGCCCATAAAAAGTTATTAGATTGATATATTTCAAACGTAGCTTACAGCTGCGGCTCGTGTTCTAGAGTTTGAGTAGATTTAGGCTGATATGATTATATCGCCAAGCGTCATGTAAATAAATGCAAATATATAATCTGCCTTGATTTTACTTGCAAATTTTGTTTTGGTTTTGTTTACGCCTTACTGTAAGTAGTTTTGTTTACTCAGTTTGATTTTTACGATATCTTTTTGTGAACCTACTAATAACATTTATACATTAATTATTTTTGGCAAATAATTTACGTTTTCCGAAAACAGGTGCCGTGAGGCCGCAGTCTATGTCTCGAGCACACATACCGCACGCGGTCAACATCGATGTCGGTCGCAGTGGAGAGACACGCACCACTCCTCCCACACGCGTGTCGCCCCCGCGTCCCTCTCCAATGCCTCCTGTACCCTCCACTGAGTGTCCACCGAACGTCACGGCCACACCTATTCAACCAGATGACGCTCTACTCCGACGGCTCGCGTCTTCCCATTACCAGTCTTACACCGCCGCACTCACAGTTACCATAGCAGTCGGATGTTTTTTGTTATTACTAAACGTTTTAATATTCGCTGGTATTTATCACCAACGGGGCTCCCGACCTCGGCGTTCCAAGGACGATCTCGCCGAGGCCGGGAGTTCCTCTTCCTCTGATAATTACGACGGTAAATTGGACTACGAAGTGCGCACGTTTGACGGGAAAGGTTTCGGGTTTGAGTGTAAGTCGGCGCACGTGCCTCGCGGTTTTGGATCTAAGTTTGACTTACGGACGTTGTCGGACTGCGGGGAGCCGACATTCGGTGAGTACAGCTGCTACGAAGAAAAACATCGAGCGGCACGAAGCTCGATGCCAGATGTCAGTGTCGGCAGCGCGATCGAGGCCGGTAGTCTCGTCTGTATAGACACTCAGAAGCCCGATATACAAAAAGTGGAGGGCCGATCGCAGGACCCTGTTGGTAGAACGAGTACGTTCGAGCCTCGTGTTGTAGATAGTTCGACTCAGGTTAAATTTGGGCCAGAGTCTTCAGAAAATACGGCAGAATGCAATGAATCTGAGTCCGGAGGTGCGAGTGGGTCAGGGATACTGCGTGTTCCGACCGCAGCCGCTACGCCAGCGCCTCCTGGTATCATGAAGAAGAGAGTGCAAATACAAGAGATTTCTGTATGAGGGTTTCTCGAGACCGCTGCCGAGGTGGTTGTCAATAAACGGACTAAATTATGATTTTACTATATCGGTGTAAATAAATAAAAATGATCGTGTAAGTTCTCTTGTAAATACATCAAATTAATATATGCCAGATAGTTAAATAAATTGAACAGTGATATTATTTAGGAATAACATTTCAGAGAACAGTGAATGTTAATTTCAAGTTATTCTGAGTTGAAAATTGGAAACGTAACACCCGAGGTAATAAAATATATCTGAACGTTTTATACGTTTTCAATCTGTTGCTCATAATTTTACGTGGATATTTTAATTATCATAATGAACACTAGAGATCGCGTAAAATACGTTAATGTTATCATTATGTTTTCTACAATATTTGAAATATTCTTTAAAGTCGTATCTGCGCCTAATTATATATTTTGTGCGAAATTATATAATATTTGAATAATGCAATAAATTAGTGACAAAAGACTTTAATACCCCATTAGCTGTACATAAGAAATATCAAACGATGTGTCTCACTTTGTAAGTTATGTAAGTCAATAATAACATTAGGGATACGTGTATGTTGTATTTTTTTGTTTCGTGAAGTTACCTCAAAGTGACGTGTATTGATTTCGAGTAGTTTTTGATAAGTCAATATTTAAAAATAAAAATTAATCATTGAATGGACGAGTACAATACTTGTTGGATCAAAATAAACTGGTTTGTTTTTGTTGTTTAAAAGAAATAGTGCCGCAATTGCCAAGCTTAGTTCGTTTGTTTGGTAAATAACTTTTATGTGTTAGGAATCGTCTATCTATCAAATTTACTTGGTGGTTTTAAATACGGCCCCTTAATAACTATTATAATACATTATTATATTAATTTTAACGTACAGAAAGGTAATCAGGGTATTAAACAAAAGCTATGTGAGCTAGCGAGTCCATACCTGCAATCTAATTTATGTTTAACGCCGAGAATATTTTCATACCTTTTTTTTCTTTAAATTGTATTCACATTCACTCATCTTTTATAATTTACGTCTTAATCAAATACAATTATTTGTATCCTGTATAGTTTGCCTTGCCAATTATGTGTCTCGAAAATTTTCGATGTGTCTCGAAAGTTCTCGACTTTTTCACCGCATCATAATAATATTCTCTAGCAAACGCAAATCCCTGAGAATTCATTCTTTTATCGTATGTATAATTAATTTATTTAAATTAAAAATACTAATAATCTGAAACGCGACGTACTCGTCATTTCTAATATGATTTTCATATAACTCAATTATATGTAATTTAGTAACTGTTTTTTTGTGTATGTAAATAAATGAAAGTAATAATAGTTTGATATATAATGTAACATACATAAGTACTCGTCCATGTTTTTATCTTCAGAGGAATTGATGATGATTAAGTAAAGATGAATGTGCGTTTGTAACACCATTTTCCATATTGTGACAAAATGTTGCCTACTTTATTTTAAATGATACAGTAATTTATTTATGTATTTGTTATGTAATTACATAATTTATAGCTAATTAGCACTTAAAATGAAAAGTCATCTTATGTGTATTATGTAAATTTTTAATTACGCTATGTACACCTAATGCCTTATACAGTAATTTTTGGTTAATTTAAGTGAATAGAGATCACCTTCATTTTTATGAAAAATATTTAGCATCTCATACAATTTACATATAACCTAATTTGAGCATAAATTGTAAGCTGTTATAAATTTAATTGATTTAAAATCAAACTTTAAAGCATTTTCAACTGTTTCAACACTATAAAAAGTAAAGTGGAATTGATTTATCAATGATTATGTTATAGTTTTAGATTGATATGTAGAATTTTCAGACATCACTGAGGATTATTGTTTTAAATAATGTGTACTAATGGAATACGCAAACGTATACCACCTAAAGATAAAAAGAAATACAAATGTACTGCTTAAAAGATTTTTCGTTTGAGGCAAATGAACTAAATTCAATCATAATGATTTTTAAATGGAGATTTCAATGTTAATCTTAAATTTGTAACGTCCATTGTTTTACATTTATTAGTTTCAATGTTTGTTAATTGTAAATATATAATTTTATTATTGTTGTATTATCGTTCATAGATTGAAAATCTATAGTAATTAGTGGAATTGCGAATGTAGACAAAAGTAAAATTAATGAATTATTTACACGTTACGTGCCCGATAGTTTTAGTCCGTACGTACGATTGCATTTTGTTACAATGCGGCATATGGAGTTAATAACTTGTGGTGTCGAATAAAGAATTGAATAAAAGGCTGTTTTCATTTTAATATTATCATGTAAACAAGCTTAAATATGTAAAATGCTTAATAAGTGATTTTGCTTCACACCCACTTTTCATAGAGGTGTTCAATATTACACATGTTTTTATCTCTCCTTGTTTCTTCACGTCAGATCGAACACGTATATACTTACCAAAATACACAAAACTACAAACAGATGTTTTCAAATCATAAATACCCCTGCCTTATTTCAGTTATAACTAGGTTTGTACAAGATCATGGTTTAAAAAAAATCTTACACCTTACAAAAATCTTTGGGCTCCCGGCAATACACAATCTTCACTGCCTACCGGAACCCGTAGACTTCACAAAATGAATGCTGCATCTCACTTTGAGACATGAGGTCGAAATCTCGGTTGTATTATAAAACGGCTGTCCCCCAAACCTACAATTAATATCGGCTGGGACGAACATTTACCACTTTATTAACAAAGACGGTGTAACATTCGAATGATATCGTTTCTCTGACTGTATTGACAGTAAGCTTCAAATACGATCGAAAGAAACAAAACACCATGTAAGCCGATATTTCTTCTTCTTTTGGTATTGATATCCTTTATCGAAGTTTGGCAACCATTAAGGCTGTTTTCACTTCGCTATATAGTATCGCTGTATAACCATCGCGATTATCAATAAGTTGTTTGTGTTTACTTCATTAAGTTGACAGTTAAATAAACACCTCCATTATTATAAGCCAGAAAGTTAGATTGTGAAAAAGCTGGTTCTACTAAAACACTCTCTAAAACAGCTTTGCCAATCGACTTATTTTAATGTTTTAATATTTAATATCAAAATTTAATGACGTCAAATTTAAACAATAAAATTATGCCTGAAGAAGGTATTAACGAATCCTTATCATCTTTTTTTTTTCTCTTATGAAAATTCTTCACATTTCGTTAACTTCGTTTTAAGAAAATACATTCCTTTGTATGTATAACAGATCAAAAGGAAATGATAATAAGCCAATTAGGCTTAGAAGCTTGTTGTTTTATTATATGTGACGTCATCGCAGCAAAGTTGAGATCATTCCATATTGAGTTACCCATAAAAATCAGAAGAAAATCTCTAATGTTCTATAAATCCTGTCGCTGTAAGCAGGTTCATTTGGTTGTTAATAAAAAAGGATGAGAGGAAAGAATCGAATAAGATCGATGCGTGCTTTCAAAGAACGAAGCTGACAAGTCACCGAGCTATTTAGTTTCAATTAGTTATAGATGTGATATTAATTGTATTCGTTAGTTATTGGTCTGTTTTGTTGCTGTTGTAAATATGTCTCTTACGCGTTCTACTGTTATCAAAATCAAATGAGACCTTTGGCTCGGCTGGCTTACATTTAAGTCTTTCAAATCAATACTATACCATAAAACAGATAATTTCTGACTGAAATGTCCAACTGGCTTTAGTTCGAATTGTTAATGTTCGGAGTGTTAAATTTATCTTCCGTTAGCACGCGACATAGAGATGTGGTTGGTCCGTATTCACGGTGCGGTCTATTTGACGTCAGCTTGCGTCGAGCGATTCAACAACTAAACTAACGAATTGGAGTCTGAAATATTGAAACTGGTACTGGATATAGTGAATAGGTGAAATAATTACTGATAGAATGGGGTATTGAGACTTTAAGCCGATTCCCTGTGATCAACCCGTATTCCAAAATGTACAATATTTTTGTTCAGTACTAAATCGATGTAGTTGTTTATAGAGCATTTTAAACGGGAACGTGACTCCACTTTGATACCTTAGATCGAAGTCACAGTTGTATCAGATCCTGATCTTCAAACTGAAGTATGCGATTGCTTTCAGACAAAAGTATGCCAGACAGTAGCACAATTGATACAGACTGTCAACACACCCTATTGAATAATATCATTGATGTTAAGTTTTGAAGTCGTTGTGGCCTAAAGGATAAGACGTCCGGTGTATTCGTATGTAGCGATGGATCGGTGTTCGAATCCAGCAGGCGGGTACCAATATTTCTAATGAAATACGTACTCAACAAATGTTCACGATTGACTTCCACGGTGAAGGAATAACATCGTGTAATAAAAATCAAAAAAACCCGCGAAATTATAATTTGCGTAATCACTAGTGGTAGGACCTCTTGGGAGTCCGCACGGGTAGGTACCACCACTCCGCCTATTTCCGCCGTGAAGTAGTAATGCGTTTCGGTTCGAAGGGTGGGGTAGCCGTTGTAACTATACTGAGATCTTAGAACTTATATCTCGAGGTGGGTGGTGCATTTACGTTGTAGATGTCTATGGGCTCCAGTAACCACTTAACACCAGGTGGGCTGCGAGCTCGTCCATCGATCTAAGCAACAACAAAAAAAAGTTAAGATGTTTGTTGATGTTATTTAATATCGCAAAATTGATTGAAGCTAAAATATTTCGGGCAAAGCTAGTTCGCAACCTGGGTTAATACGTAGAACATTTTTATAACGTCAGCAATATCAGCTATCATATTATTGTGTTCGTTCGGTTCTTGATTTTACATAGGAACGAATTAACAAACCGACTGTTAGTTTATAAGCCTCAGAGTGAAACGCGCAATTCTTTATCCTGGAAAATTGCAAAATGTATCATTCATTCTGAATTAAAAATTTAAGGCGGGTGAAGCAATTTGGCTCGTCCTGTCAATAAGAACTTTCTAGCCTATTCAGTATATATTACTGGTGGTAGGACCTCTTGTGAGTCCGCGCGGGTAGATACCACCGCCCTGCTTATTTCTGCCGTGAAACAGTAATGCGTTTCGGTTTGAAGGGTAGGGCAGCCGTTGTAACTATACTTGAGACCTTAGAACTTATATCTCAAGGTGGGTGGCGCATTTACGTTGTAGGTGTCTATGGGCTCCAGTAACCACTTAACACCAGGTGGGCTGTGGTGAGCTCGTCCACCCATCTAAGCAATAAAAAAATAAAAATAGAACGCCAATTTCAACTTCGACTCCATTTCGTTAGTTTAGCTGTTAAAATCACTCCGCATATCGACCGCACCGTGAATACGGACAAACCACATCGC